CTTAGATTTTTCTCTGAATTCTGAGTTTACATTAAAAATTCTACCCCCACAAACAAAACAACTTATGGCAATTTGCTATTTAATATGCAGCTATTAAACTTTTTATCACGACTAAACCTTGTCCGCCAAGTTTCCCATGTCAAGTCTGAGAACACCTCAAGCAGAGTGAAGGGGAGTACGAAGGTAACGCGGATAAGAATACGAGAAAACAGCTTGTAAAGAGTGACAGTGTGCTTCTATCTTCCTGTAAACACACAACTCATACAATAATAAATAAAAACATAACTCATACGAATTTTTATGCAGAATGTTACTGCGCGTGCAGGAGGTCGCGTGCACCCGACATGTTGCAGGTCAATAACGGCAGGGCTGGGCTTTCGCCTCTTCTTTTTTACTTTAAAACAGATTACATATGTGTTCTTCGAATGTACATGAATTACTAGAACCAAACGTGAAAACTACCGATGTAATAATGAGTTTTGTTCGCTGCTCTCGGTGTGTAAACACTGACAGCTAACGCTAACTGGCTAACAGCTTTCCCTCAAGCTTAAACAAGGAAGTGCACTTACGTATGAAATACATTAAGACATGTCTTTCCTTTCCTCCAAATTCGCTTTGTTCTTTCCAAATAAATATCCTTTGGGGAGTAAATAAATAGGGAAGAGATCCAGTGCGGCGTTGTCAACACTACTTGAGCCTCTGCCATCAGCTGGACCGACCAGTCATTCAACCAATCAGCGCAGCGCTACAAGTTACGAGACTCGTGATTCGTCGGTGTCAAGCAGACCAATCAGGAGCCTCAGAACTTGTAGGACTTCGCTGATTGGTTGTGTGGTTTGTGTTTGACGTCATCAACACACCTCCGACCCCACCTGCCGTTGACCTACAGGTCTGAACTGCGACCCTGAATATATATTATAATACATCTGTGCTCTATAATTAATAATTGACTGATTTTTTGTTTTTTTTTACACATTTATTTTTACAGTTCTTTTCAATTGCATGCCCAGTTTAGACAGCAATGCCTTGCAGTGTCTCAACAGCTCAAGCACTTGACGACGCATTACCCACTGTGCTAGATATTTTTGCTATGCTTGCATTGTTTTGCTTGGTCATTGGAAATAGGAGATATTGTTTACACTGAAATATTGACATGTAGTCCTGATATCCACTGAGATGGTGCCAAAAAATAAAAATATGATACACACTGCATTGTGCTGACAGTACAGGAACACAAAGCCCTTTTTGTTGTTTAAAGCATAAAGGATACAGTATTTTGAACTACTGTTGTAGGTTCCTAAAAGGGAAACATTTGTGAACTATGACTGATGAAATCATTTATTTACCCTATAGAAAACAAGTTATTTTGCATGTTTGTGAAAGTTGGTTTTCCTCATATGTGGGCTGGGTGCATTTGAAGGCCTCAAGGCCAAACTGACTGACTGTGTAGGCCGGCCTCATGGCCTACTTGACTGAGCTTATGAATGGAGAATACACAGATAGAAATACTGGAGAAGGGAGATGCCACAGGATGAGATAATGTGTGTAAAAAAAAATGTAAATCCTAAAATGTGTAATCCTCTGCAAACGTGGGCACCTGGAAAGTGGTAGATAAGAGAAGTTATCTTTTGAAAAACGGACTAGCAGGTGGTTTTCTGCAATGAAAGCAAGTGTTCTGAAAAATAATAAACAATTGTGGAAAGTACTGGGAATGATGTATGATGCAAGAATGGTCTGTACTAGGGATGGAACGATTACCGGTTTCACGATAAATCACGATAAAATGCCCTGACGGTTAGTATTATCGTTTAAAATTTAAGTATCATCAAAACCGTATTTGATTACGGCCACCACCCACTGTTATATAGCGAATGCAAGGTAACTTTTACCTCAATACCAAAACTAACTGGGCAAATAATTGGACAAAAAAATATTGATTAGAGATTAAATATTTCGCAGAATATTAGAATTATTTCTGAAGGATCATGTGACACTGGAAGTAGTCCTAAAGGCAAGAGTAAAGACCGTTTACATTAAAGGCACAATATGCAATTTTTTGCCACTAGAGGGCGCATATTCAAAACAACCAAAGAAACAAAGGCGTAGTTAGATGACGCCGTGACTGAGTGTGGTCTTGAGGTGTGTTCTTTGAAGGGTGCAGAGTATTACTGTCTCGTATAAGCGTTTGAAACTCCCTTGGCGAAGGGAATGACTGACCAAATGTTACCTTGACAACGCTGCGCGTGCGTGCAGCATTCAGCTCTTCATCAGTTGTTGCAAATAAATATTTGAAGAGTTCATTTGCAAAAACCGATAACTCCATTTTAATTTTTTTTCAGAAATCACGTTTTTTTTTTATTGCGCATTCCAAGTAATATCAATCAAACTGCAGTTGGGTTGTTTTGATTAAGTAATAATAACAAACAAATACAGGTAATTTACAAAATTAAAGTGAATTGAAAGTATGTTTTTTAACATATTAAAAGTTTGTTTTATAGCAAAAGTAGATAACTCCAACAGTCGTGTTTTGGCAAAAGCAGATAACTCCACATTTCATGTTTTAGAGTTTAAAAAAACACTCGTTTAACTATAACCGTGATATGAAATTTTCATACCGTTACATCCCTAGTCTGTACGCTTATTGGACAGTGACCAACAACAAAGATGTGCAAAGATTGTAGTCTGGACAGAGAAAGACTCGGATGTTCTGCAGGCATCTCAGCTTTGTTGTCTTCTTGCAATAAAGTTCAATTTTGACTTCTGGAACTCTAAGCATTATTTTGCAAGACAGAGAAGACTTTTTGTCCACAACATGATGTCCTTAGAACTGACCTCGACAAAAATGTATATAATGTATGTAAGTGATATGTACAGTGCATATACTACTGCAATCACTTTGTCAATCAAATTTATTTGGTTACAAAAAAGGTATAAAATTAAGAGTAGAAAAAAGTGTCTACGCATGTATAATTCTGAAAAACAAAACAAAAATAGTCTTTTCAAAGAAAAGGCAGCCATTTTTGATTTTTCCTTTTTTGATTAAAAACATTCCACTGAGGGTATGAACTACGTTAAATACAGTATGCCACCTTGTCTGGTACTAAGAACTAACACAAACCCAAAAGGATTTTAGAGAAAACAGCTACGCTGAAACCTGCGTGACAGTGAAGGTACATTTACATTGATTATTAGCAGTAAACACAAAATGACATCAGTAATTGGAACGGGCACAGAAGCCAGACATATGAATCATAAGCAATGTGACAGTACATTCATTTGTGCAAGACCTGAGGGAGCAATACTTTCACAGAGAAGCTGCGAAATATATATTGCTCCCTGGGGAATGAGAGGGGTATATTTGATTCCTCAGTCGCATAAACAAGCATCACCGTTTCAGTTCTGCAGATTTAAATATGTTTTTGGGAACTGCTTAATGAATTTCAGTTGTCACTATAAGGCCTGATATACATATTCAATTGGAAGGCATCTGAGGCAGGTTTCATCCCCTGTCCCATTGGCTCGGTTTTAAAGGAGTGTGTTTGCATGTCATTGTGAGAAGTTTTTTACACAATTCAAGGCCATTGAATTCATGACAATCCATTTTTTCCACTTACACAAGCCAATGGACTAAATAAAATAAAATAAAAGACATTGTAAGTCGCCTGTCTTCAGAGAAAAGCTAGAAGCATTTTAGAAAAAACCCAGGTAGCAAAACAGGGGCACATTGTCTTTCTTTGTAGCCCAGTTTTCATGTGATCAGATACATTTCAGTAATGTTTTATCATCCGTTGTACAGCTCTTTCATCTGGATATAAGAAGAAACCTTCCACTGGGTCTCTACATGTTTTACTGGTTCCATAGTGCTGATTCTGGGGTTGAGAGGAGACAGTCTATGCTCAGGCCAGGCTTCAGTGTTTGCGGGTGCGCTGACCCCCTGTTCCGGTGGTTGTGACATACAGGAGGGGCTGAAGTTGCCTGGTTTGGGGGCCACGCTTGATGAGGTGGGAGGGCAGAGTGGAGGAAGTGACATCTGCTGTTGATACTGTTGAGAATTAATAAAGGTCAACAGGAAATCAAAACTGACTCAAATTTTTTTAATAGTTGTTCTTAGTGCTATTGAACACAACACATCTGTGCAATCTCATTGGTCTTCATCGAACACAAATTGGATGAATAAATTAAAAGTGAAAGTGACGTGACATGTGGCCAAGTATGGTGACCCATACTTGGAATTAGTGCTCTGCATTTAACCCATCCAAAGTGCACACACACAGCAGTGAACACACACACACCATGAACACACACCCGGAGCAGTGGGCAGCCATTTTTGCTGCGGCGCCCGGGGAGCAGTTGGGGGTTCGGTGCCTTGCTCAAGGG